TTCGCGAATACACTTAATAAGAAATGATTCTTAAGGTGAAATGGGAATGTTCAATTTACGAATCACGTCTGGAGTTCAATTTAAGAATCTTTACTGTACTACATTCGCGAATACACTTAATAAGAAATGATTCTTAAGGTGAAATGGGAATGTTCAATTTACGAATCACGTCTGGAGTTCAATTTAAGAATCTTTACTGTACTACGTGTGCAAATACACTTAATAAGCAATGATTCTTAAAGTGAAATGGGAATGTTCAATTTACGAATCACGTCTGGAGTTCAATTTAAGAATCTTTACTGTACTACATTCGCGAATACACTTAATAAGAAATGATTCTTAAGGTGAAATGGGAATGTTCAATTTACGAATCACGTCTGGAGTTCAATTTAAGAATCTTTACTGTACTACATTCGCGAATACACTTAATAAGCAGTGATTCTTAAGGTGAAATGAGGATGTTCAACTTACGAATCACATATAGAGTTCATTTTAAGAATCTTTACTACGTTTGCAATAACTGAATAAGTATATTTAAAGTAGTTTTAAGTAAAAGCTTAAAAATACATAAATAATTTGCTATATTTTCGAGGCAATAAAAGCTCCTTTACAATATTTAATAAATATCGAGGTAATCTTTAACTGACCAGTTGAACATATTAATTTGCTTTTGGTTCTATTACGAAATATTGTCAACTGTAATTTCGACGAGACCCGTGAGTTTTCGAGTCGTCGGACTTTGAATTTTTGCCAGAGTTTCTGGGCGTCTACCCCAGCGTTGCGTCGGACAATACACCGTTGGTACGCCAGGAATAGCAATGCAAACGCAGTTTAGTTTACCGCGACTTCATTACAATGCCTCTAGATGCTTTATGTATTTAAGGGCCGTGTGTATAGCCCCGCAGCATGTGCACACGACGTGTGCCGCGTTACCGGCCTATCGGAGTATTTCGGTTCAGCATATAGGTCAACGTTTCAGAGATTACATCTACGACGGAGAATAAAACATCCCGTGTTGCAAGTAGACCGCCGTGGCCCGATGGTATCGACGCCATCCGGACGCATAGTCGAGCAGATATCGTCTCGTTGTTAGTTTCACGTTGATCTTCGATAAACTACTCGACAAGATTCGTCGATGCAATTAACGTCCCGGCTTTGCTACGTCTCGAGCAACGAGCGTGAGAAGCGCGAGGGGAAACCGTAGACCGCGACGGGCAAATAAATCGTTTGCTTTAACATATTAATTAGAGCACAGATCGGGAAAAGATCGCGGGGCTCCAACATCGTGCGCAGACGGTGTTTACGAGAGGCAGTTAGAAACTTTGCAGACTCGTATTCCAGCTTCGACGAAGCTCGATAAAGCGTTGGAGAAGGGATTGATAATTAAAGAGTTTGCTAATTATCAATAACTGGTCTATTCCCTTGTTTAACGAATATCTTCTTTACTCATTATCAGTTTCACTTACTCTTTTCGGTTGCATAAATTCAAGGAGACCTTCGAAAAATAATCATAGCAGTTTGAAACAGTTTTCACGTAATTTGGTACGACTGTTGTTCAAGAAAATTTAAGAGAAAGACTCGATTTTTTGTAAGATGTAAAATAGAATATACCTTTAAAATATGGACGAAGTTAGTACCGTGGGTAAAGTGCGAGAGATTCGTAGTCTACGATGGTCTTTCCGTGTTTGGGCGTTAATAGGCGAACCGACGCTAAGCCTGTCACGTGCAGTACGCAGAACCTTTTGGCGTAAAGGCACTCCGGCACTTCAAGAGAAATTTATCGGTGATCATGCGATTCACGGGCGCGAGGAGGGCGTGAGCACGGTTCGTCGCCGTGGCATTCGCGATGAAGGGAAAATGGAAGGCGCCTCTGGGAAAGCAACAAGTTCGCGACGCCTTTATCCTCCCAGGCTATCCTTTTGTGTCCCTGGAACTTGGCCAACAGTGGCTCACCGCTGCCCGTCGACTCCCTCTTCTCTTCGTTTATCCTCCGCCTTCCCTTCGCTTCTTATCCGACCGAAAGTGCAATCAATCATACCGTAGGGCGATCAGTTTTTAAGGATGATTGCGATCAAAGTCCGAGCGCGATCGACCGTGCAACGAAATTCGGTCAATTTCCATTCTGTCGTCTTAACCGAATTGCACCTCTCAATTCGATTACAGCGATGATTCGTAAAGTGAACGTCGCCCCAGCTCGTATCGTTTTTAAATGTCATCTTTACACGCTTCTGTGGCTTTATGAAGGATGCTCCCCAGTTGAGGAGGGATAGAAGTATTCAACTTACGAATCATGAGGTTCATTTTAAGAATCATTATTGTGTTAGGGGTAGGAAAGACCCGAAATTGACCGTAGACTGCATGCAGTAGCGTCCAGATATGTTTCATAGGATCGAAGACCTTATTATCGTATCAACGTATCATATTGACCCTTCGAAACGTCGCAGGGCGAAATTATTAACGCTGACAAGCTCTTGGATTTCATATCTCGTGATATCGAGTCTTGTTTGCCCGAGGAAGGTCAAGTGTCAAACATGACCTGATTAATGACAGTCAGTATGCCTTTCGGGCGGTCCTATAACGTCCGCCTCATCGACATTCGTGTCTAACCGCAAGAGCTACATTCCCTAATCATTGACCTATCCCAATGAACAGAATGCCGCGTTTGCTGGAACAGGAGAGATCCATTATTCCATACGATGGATTCCACGATGATTCATGGGAATCGGCTTTATCTGGATCAACCATGTTGCACTCGATGCCCAATTGGGCAAGTTCCAGCACGCAGCTTTCACTGGCAAGCGTTTCGCGGTGCGATAAAATTTGCAAACACTCGGGCACGTGTGTAAATGTGTAACACGTGTATACAATGGATAGATATACAATGGATAGAAGACGGAAGAGGAATCTAAGGAAGAAGATAGCAAATCAACCAAGCGAGAGGAATAAGCCGGAGCCGTAAAGGAGGAAAACAAAGACGCTGCTGAAAGCATTTGTGCAGTCAGCCTAGAAGACGTAAACGAAGATTGGATTCAGTGTTCAATCTGTCCATGAAGTTTGTGCTGACGTTCCACTGTGCGCGAACAACTATATTTCTGGCCATCGCAGATTACTCTGGAGCTGTTCTATGTTTCTTGTTCTGTGTTCCTCTGTCGAGTACTAGGTACCACTTAAGTTTAATAGATTATTAAATTGTATGGTAAATAATGGAAGGGGTTAAAAGCATGTGCAATTAGAAATAGCTGACTATATAGAAAAATGTGAAGGTGTAAACTGGAAGTCATCCTAAGATTAAATAAATAATAATAGTACTAAGTGCCACTTTATATATTCGAATATTCTAATAAATGCTATTACAACGTGTTGGTAAATGTTATTAAATTTATAACGACAGAACAATAAACAATATTAACATTAAATAATTATATTTAATACGTGACTAACTCTTGTTTGAAACTATACAATTCGCCATGACAGATGCTATTAAAATGCTTGCCAGCGTGGCGTGATCAGTTTATGTTTGCAAAATAATTGAAAGCCCAATGCTATCTTTTCTCATCTTAAAGGTATAACCGTCGTGACAACTTAGCCCCGGAACTTCTAGCCCCGGTCTCCCCTATTATTGGCACGCGATTCGTGCACCGAAAGCAACTCCCCTATATTTTTCTATTTATTCGAAGGAAACCATAAGCGTTCGCCATCGACGGAATAACGAATATGGCAGCGGCGACGGTTGAAAGTTCGATCGTTCTTATCGAAAAGCCTCGTACGATCCTACTTTTTAGAAGCTTTTCGGACAGAGCTGGAAGGGCGGTACAATGAGATTCGTGTTCCGTGACCGCGGTAGGCTTATTAATATTTGCTTCGAAGCAAACTTTTATCACCGGGCGTATTTTGTTCGCGTTGCCAACTTCGCGAAACGTCGGCGCGCAACGTGTAGTTCCCAGCCACGGGCATTACGGGCCGTTTCCGAACTTCATGGAACTTTCAATACTTTCTCCTCCGCGCATTCTTTCGCCCCCGATCTCTTTCATTTCCTCTTCCCCCTTCGTTTTCCCCCGCCGCTCGGGGACGGAAAAAAAAAGGGTGAGTCCGTCGAGCAAATAAGGGGTCGCGTCCATTATTTCATTCCCGGGGATAAAAATTCAGCGAAAAGTTTTGATTAACGTCCATCGAAATTTCGCCCGTGTGATCGGTGTCGATAAATTGCGAAGCATTTCGTCGGGACTCTGTGTCTTTTGCTCTCACTAAGATTTTTTATTTATTACTCACTAAGAAATCTATTAAAAATCTTATAATTACTGCGTATAATTTCATATTTAAGGACACCATGATTCTTAAGAAATTTGAAAACAAGTTGTAAGTTGTCAAATTTGTTGTCAGTGACCAAGATTTATGATCGCTCATATTCGTACACTATAATTGTGATTCACTATAAAGGAACTAAAATCCTTATTTCTTATGAATTCCATGTATTTAGTTTTACCAAATGTTGTTTATTACAATTGTGTTACTTCTCTATTTAGAAAGTAGTTTTTGTCTTGTCTTTCATTTAGTTTATTTAAGCTTATTTCGTTTAGTTTCATTTTATTTAATTTCCTTTTTAAATTTAAATACAAACCCTTAAGTATCTCAACATACAAAAAAATTTAGTCATACCATTTTCAAAGACAACACAATTCATAAAAAACAATCCTTTTTTCAAGTATAACGAATCACCGTTATAGCGTACGAATACGATTTTCTCACTTCGTTTTATTTTTTATATTTCGTTCCGACGACTAATGGCAATTGGAAAGAATTCGTTCGAAATCTATTTCGTTGGTACACGACGAAGTTCGAGCAATTAAGTGTATTTCACAGTAACGGGGCCGGTTGCTCGCAATTCGTGCTCATTAGTGAAGGATTAGCATTCTCCTCTTTTTCGATGTACATTTTCAACACTCCTGGAGCTCGAAGGGCTTTCCCGTTAAATCCTCGATGTTTTTTATTTCTGTTTTCAGGCAAAATTTCGCGTGATGGTGGAGGAGAACGCAGCGACAGGCGCCCGGCTTGACGGGGAGCTGGAACGAGCGAGGGGCGAGTGCGCCACGCTCCGTGGAGAGTTAAGGGATGTCCGTAGCGCTTTGCCGGTGGTACTAAACAATAATAACGGTGCGGGAAACAGTACAGCCGCTGGTGGCAACAGCAACAATAACGCCACCGGCAGCGCGACGAATAACAGCAACGCCGGGACGCAGGAGGCGACGGAGGTTCAGCAACAACAATCGCAGGAGGATGGGAAAAGGCTCAGCGCTGGCAGCAGCCCCGTGGAAAAGAGAAGCTCGGCCAGCGACAAATCAGCCAGCCCCATCGATAAGAGAACCAGCCCGGTCGATAGGAAGGAGAGAACCAGCCCCATAGATCGACGAGCAAGCCCCATAGGTACGTTTAAAAAAACTATTAAGAATATATTGAAAAACAGTGGTCGAAACTTCTGCGTGAACACTTCCATTTTGAGTAAAGATGGCAAGAATGTTGATAGTATTACTCAAGAAATAGTAAAAAATAATTAGGGAATAATAGAAAACTGAAGATTAATATTTAGAATTTAAAACAAAATTATTTCATTTCAAAGCATGCATTTTAAGAATCACCCTGTATACAAATTTAAATTAATTTTCAATTAAATGAACAATTTATGATCCAGTTTTGTCGTACACTAGATGTACGATCAGTAGAAATTGCTGAAACGTCTTTGGGTATGTAGCGTCAAAGTAAATTTCCAAATAAACATAGAAGATAGCAAAAATGATGGTAGGTGATATGATCATTAGATAGGGGATGAAATGCCCTTTAAAACGAGCGTACGTACGAGTCGATAGCTCAATTAGTTCCGGAGATATAGCGATTTTAGTTTCAAGTCGATGCGGTGGCTAGTTACGGAGAGATAAGGGTCCGAAGCGTTTGTTTACGTTCATTGGGATCAATGAATTCGCGCGCGCGAAAATAGTAAACAGTGCGTAGTAAATTCTTGGAAATACTACGCTCGAAACTAGGTCACGAGAGTCACGTCTCACGTGCGACAAAGAGGTCCAGCGCGACGCGTCAGACGGAGACAGAGATAGTCAAATTAAGAAAAATAGCCTTTTACATAAATTGCGATATCTCGGAAACGGAAAGTCCGATCGACAAAATTCAAAAACCATTTTAAAGGGGAGGCTTTGCCGCTTCTAACAATGCATCAATAATTAATAAAGCACTAATAGTTTCGGAGCTGCACGCGTTCAAAGTTTTAGTATTTTTAATACACGTTCTAAGACATTGGGACAGTGGGATAATGGGTTTAAAAACGTTTATTTGACCGGTCGTGGTAAGTTTAGCCACACTTATGTTTGATTACTTCAAATATTCTACTTTTTATATCAATAATTAGATTTTGCAATTTCTCAATTTGATTTCACTCGTATCTTCCTTACTCCGTACATCGATCACATAATTTTGAAATAACGATTGGATCATCTGGGTGTCGAAGGTTTAACAGAGAGAATTCGAAGGAATCGTTCATCGTCCATCATCCCGTGGAAACAATACGAACAGTCGGGCGCGAAAGTGTTCTTACACGATCCAACTTTTCCAGCGGATGCGTTCCTTTCTCACGTGTTTTCGGACATATGTATGCAAAGCTTCGCGGAAAGTTCCGCGATATATAATAATTTGAAACCGGAGTTCTCGCGTAGCTCACAGTCGAAACTTTATCTTGATTCCCTGGAACACCGTGCACCTTATATCTCGTAGTTACTTGCTGCCACTTTTACGGCTGGCCATGACTCACCATTTCCTTGTCCAACTTGTAACACTCTGTAGGAACCGGGACAACCAAACCCCGCCGTACCGTCTGTCAGCCTCTGTCGACTCTCTTCTCTGACCAGTACGAGATTGCATTACTTTTTAAACGCATGATCTCTTCTCGCGAGACGCGAAATTTAATCACTTTGCCGGATATATTGCGTCGGCGACCCTGGGACCAGTCCACTTTGATTAAACTTAACTGAGACGTTCGCGTAATAAAATTAGGGACGACAAGGTGTACTGTGTTTTCACTTTAACACGAATGTAATACTTTCGTCCCCGTACCATAACAATTTAACTGCGAAATTTCGTCTAACGCGTGGAATGGCGTGACGGTCACCGGTGACCGGCGCTTTGTCAATTTTTTAATATTTATTCCAGTTATTTTACTCCTAATGTCAGTGGCATAGATCACTTCAAAATAACAACTACCATGATGAACTGTTGAACATTACACGCCATTTTTAATACCAAATAAATCCAAAATAATTGAGGCTCGATTGGCAATCAGAGTGGCTTCTAAATCACATCAATTTTTATACAGAAGCTACATACATACATAGAAATGACTAAGTGTTTAAGTAACGAAATAAACAATTATAGTTTAGCGTCCCTTGTGACTAAAAGGATGAAATTTTTGGTGCAGAGAAACGGAATGGCTCGCCAAGTCGCAGCCCGAGCGAGAAAGCGCGTCGTCCTTACGCCCCGGCCCTGGAAAAAACACGATTGGGCGGTTCCGGCGGAAGCGTGGACTCGCGATCGGGCAGCGCCAGCCCGGATCGAGGATCCACAAACAGAAGCAACTTCCTTCACCGCGGCGGCAGCGATCGATCCAGCGTGGAGAGATTACGAATATCGACGAATCGCGACTCGCTGCGTTCCAGCAAGGAAATGAACGATCACGAGAAGGACATCGACAAGGATCTGGTGGATGGCGAGGTGCGGGTCGAAGAGGATAATGAACCACCTGGACCAGCCCCGGGCAGCAGACCCTCGTCCCCGGTTAATTCCCTGGGTGGGTAACCCAGCATTTAATTATGGAAGCCTTCCCTTTCAGCTTCGCTCCCGTACATTCACTGTCTGCGATTGTTCTACCAGCGGACTCGTTCGTTCCTACGTTCCTGCGATTCCGTGGAATTAAACGTAGCTGGGCTTAAGATGAATGCAAGTCGAGTTTTTTACGAACGTGGAAACCTCCGTGACTGGGGGCCTCGATGTTTATGCAAATTCGTAGTTTGATAAAAAAAAGAACAAATCGACTCGCCGAGCGTCTTGTTTGGAGAACGTTCGAGAAACGATCTTTTTACTAAAGTTACTGGGTGTTGGGTGAATTACTGACACGAGTAGTAGAAATAAAAAAGGAAATCTTTATTTAATTCCACACTGGGTATTAAAATTTATCAGGTCGTTGAGTTCCGTGAATTTTTCTAATATTTACTAAACCTACTAGGCGAGGATTGCATAAATACTTAAAGATTGCACATGCAATATTTTTTTAAAATTCGAATAGTGTTCCTCGGCAAAAATGTCGGAATATTCAAATGTAAAGGTTGGTCAGGTTAAATTATTCTGCTTTAACTTGTTAGTAGTCCGATAAAATGTTTGTCCGAGCAAGGAAGGCTTGAAGATGGCTTCCAACGAACGTTCCGTGTTCCAATAAAATTATTGAATGTTTCTTCAGGGATTGGCGATCCGTTGGTGGCGTCTAGACTGTCGAACATCCACGGTAGCAGCGGTGGCGGCGGATTCGTGGAGCTGGCCAGCACAAGGAGACTCCGATTGGAAAACGAACGGCTGGTGGCAGAAGTAGCAAGATTGAGGAGATTGTTACTGAGCGGAGCGGCGCGTGGCGAGGTTGGTTCCGAGGATGCGGCACTCGAGGAGGAGGCACGATTCGTCGCACTCGAGATGGAACTGCAACACGCCAAGGAAGCTCTTCAAGCTCTTAAGGCCGATCGAAAGAGGCTCAAGGCCGAGAAGTTTGATCTGCTTAATCAAATGAAAGCTCTTTACGGGACGCTGGAGGACAAGGAACGGGAATTACGCGACTTCATAAGAAATTACGAACAGGTGAGCGAAATCTTTCTCAAACGCAGACGTTTTACGCATGCTGTGGCCGCTCGGCACTCGTAGTATCCGCGAGCACGCTTGGTTTGGACAAAACACCCGTTATACGGGCTCTGTACTCCAAATTAACTCTTTCACAGATCAAGAATTAAAAAGATAGCACTCAAAAGGGGAACAGTTGGTACTTTCGATGTCAAATAAGTATTTTATATTATTTTTTGTTGAATTTTTATTTTGAAATAGTACCTATACATCCAATTTTATCTTCATAACAATGGCTTAATGGATTTGTGAAAAGGGTGAATATGACTTGTAAAAGGGTTAATTTGAAATCCAAAATCTGCATTCGCTATTTACATAATAGAACAAAGTATTCAAAATATAGATTGCCAAAGGTACATCATTCAATGAATAATTAGAAAAACCATTGTTACTCCTTAATGAAACACAAAATTAAGAAATTAAATTATATACATCCTAAAAAAAACGTCCTCGTGATTTTTTCTGTAATTCAACATCCAAGAAAACACGTTTCGCTCCGAATCTTATGGCAATTTTTCTCCCATAGAGCAATTTTCTCTCGCATTATCCTCCTCCATCTTGTCACGCTGTACGTAATCCACTTCATCACCAGCGAGCTTCGACGTGTCACCGTTGTACAAAAAAAAAAAAAAAAGAAAATGGAACCTTCGCTTCTATGATTTTTTATCCGCCCGGCTTAGCATCCCGCGCCCCTTTCTCTCCTGTTCAAACAGAAACGCGAAACACACAGGAATTCTCGTCGATCTCGGGTACATCCGTTGTTCGATATCGCAAACTTCGATACATAACTCCGTGTATCTCTCTGTTTGCCGTTTCTATAACATCCTGCGCAGATACGCTGCAGGACATTTTAACCCCAGGACTCCCGGAGGTCCCGAAGCCACGCGTTTCTACGAGGGTAGATTTGTAACTGAGCTCTCCAACCCTAGAAAACGCGCTCGAGACAAGAGAAGCTAATGAAATTGATCTGATAATTAAAGTATTAATGTTCATTGTACTTCGAACTTACGTATTTATTTTTCACTCCAAGAAGAATGTAATTCGATACAAAAAGTGGAATAATAAAACATGCAATTTTTGTTTGAAACATTTTTTCACACGACAAATATTCATCGATACATGAAAATATCAATATTCGAATAAATGACAATTAACCCCAATCAGTAAGTTTAATATAATCTACATTTGTTATCATACGTTGGAATTATAATTTTGTTACGGCTCTTCCGTTTCCTGTATCCATTAAATCCCGCGAAAATCGTTGCGCAAAAGCGTCGAAAGAAGAATTTAAAATATTTTTGTCCCCGCTCCGTCTGAACTTTTATAATCGCGTTTTCCCACGAGCATAGACGCCCTTTTACGCTCGAACGCGCGTAAACACGCGCGACCGTGGTTTCCACCGATATTTTTTAACCCCGAAACGTTGACTCGCGAACGTATAACACCTGACCGATCCGTCGAAGCGACAATAATTTCGTTGTCCCAAAGTTTAGCAGATAAACCAGCTGCAACACCTGTTATACGTAGCGTGAAGTTACTTGCGCCCGAGGGAAAGATAAGTGGATTAAGTTCTCCGTAGCTGATATCCTGCTGGCTAATAGGCGAAGGTACATGACACCTGTAAACCGACAAATTGCACCTGCATCGAGTTACCATGGCCAATCGAGTGGCAATAACAACCTGGGGAGAAAAAAGGAGGGGCAACGAGCTTAAAAAAAATCAATCACCGCGTCTCGTTTTACAGATTTTTGCAATTGTTCGCATTTAGAAATGATATCGGTAACTGTACGTAATTTCAACGTCGACTCGGACACTTTCAATTTATTTTATTGACTGTTTACACATTTACTGTCGTGGTGGTCACCGGTGACCGATACTTTGACACGTTGACTGCCACGTGACCCACATATGGGTGACATGATTTTTCATCAAGAAGCTAAGACGATCAATTAAATTTTAACGAGACTGTTGAAAATGAGTTCCAAGACAAATTGTAGGTGTAAGCTAACCATGCTTCTTTAAAAACGAGAAGAACGAAATTTAAAAATACATAAAGACCAGATGTTTAACTCACAAAAAGATGTGAAACAATTAAAAGGCGTAACGTTATTAACAAATCAGCCTTAACTATATTTAAGTTAAGTTACCACACGAAAATCATACAATTTATAAAAAAGCTACATACATATATACTTTGATCGAACGTTTTTCTCTAACGTTTCGCTTATTTTGAGCGTTCGTTTCTTGCAATGCGATCAAGCCTAACAGAGACAAGAATTCCTGGAATAGTACATCTCTCTGGATAACGCGAACATCAACGAGGGAACATTTGTATCTCGTTAGACGGTCGAACATATTTCAACGAGCGAAGGAGCTCACTCGTAACACCGATTCGATGGAAATTCGCAACATTGCGTATACGTGTGGTTAAATTGAACAGCCTCACGGGTTTGAATAGGTTGTAATTGCAATACCGTCGCAATGTTTAATCATCTCGGTAGCCTTTGTTTCAAAGCAGTCTTTCACACTTTGTGCGCGTGCATGCATTGTTAGATGGTGATGGTTTTGGGTGGAGTTACTGCCCGGATATGGGTCTCTTTGACCGTTGATTACAGCGGATGCGGGAGAACGAGGCGACCTTAGGACGCCTTCAGCAGCAAGGAGTTGGCATACCATCGGAAGAACGGGAACGCGAGCGGGAAAGGGAACGCTGGAGTCTTCTGAGGGCAGCCAGGGACGAGGCCGATCGAAGTCTCAGCCTGGCAGCTAGTTTGGCCGACAAAGAGGCCGCCCTTTCGCACGCGCACACGACTATAAAAGAGGTAAGACCCTTTACAGTTAACGTTGCCAATGCGCGCAGGGAGACTTCGCTGAATGTAATCTGTTCGTCGGGCTGCCGGTTAAAGTGTTTTGTAAAGAGTACCTGGACAACCAGAAGTTCCACGGGCAGGGGTTAAAAAATTTTTTTTAGTTTTACTCCGGCCGCCCAGTTGCCTGAACTTGGAGTATTTACTTGACGCGTTTACTCAGCTTTTAGCGAAGATAAATTCATATACTCGGCGAACTTTTATCTCTGACGGGGCTACTCGGTGAAATTGGTACCGCAACCTGTGACCAAACTTTTCTGAAATTGTACAGACTCCGCCAGACTTCCTCCACCAAACTTTGCACGTTCTGTGCATCTGGATGAGAAAAAATGTTACGTAGAACTAATTTATAGCATTCTTCGCGATAGACGTCGCGCACAACGTTATACTTTGTGAACCCACAGTAAAGATTTGTAGTGCTGGCCACTAAAACATTGCAACTTCTTGGTAACTTCTTGTGCAAAATAAATAGCAAAGAATTGTATTTGCAAATGAAGAAAGGTTCGATCTCTATGGGGAAGGTAAACAGAGGTTTTAGAAACGAATTTTCGGTAGCGAATGCTTTAAAGGATGGGCGTGAATTCATCGTAGGAAGAGAAACGGTGTCTCGCAGTTGTTTATGCAGGGTCCACAAAGTATTGGCGATCGATATGATGTTATAACGAGCAGTTGGGTAAGAAGCATTTCTTTGCTCCCACGTGCAATTACGCGAGAGGGGTGAGTCTCTGCTTTGAGCCCTCAAATTGTTCTCGACGCTGTGCATAAACGGGGCTCTAGCTAACGAGTTTAAAACTGATGGCCCGAGGGTTGCCTTGGAATGCGCTCGGGAGTCACGCACGCCGCGAAATTTCCATTTCCAGTTTCATTTTAGTAATCTCTGTGCTGATGAAATTGTAACTTTCCGCGTTCGAAACTAATTCGCAACCTAATTGATAAAATCTCGCCGCCGATATATTGGCCACTTCATTGGCCTTTCGAACCAAAACTGGTTTCAAAACCAAGCGTCACCAAGGGCAATTTGATTTTTTTTTTAATTTATTCTTACGATTAAGAATTACATTAACGATAAAGCATTCTGCTTTAATTTAAGGAGTCGATGCACTTTTTTGAAGAAAATTGTATTGGTCATCCCTATTCTTTCCTTTATAATTGTTGATGTTAACCAAGTCGCTCCGACAGAAGATTTCCAAGATAATACACGCAAATATAGCTTCACGGAATGACTGTAACCATCAGCAGTCTGATCAGAAACATCCTATTACCGGGAAATGTTTTCCCCTCTGTTCGTTTACATCTCGATGGTACTCCAGGAATACCCCTTTTCATTTACTCTTCCTCTTAAGTATATACAGTGATTCCTCGCTAATGTAGCGAATCTAAAAGAAATTTCAATTTTATAAAATCTTCATTTACAGGGCGAAGGTATAAAAAAGCTTCTAAAGAAAAAAGATATTTAATCGTAAACAAATGATACAGGATAACGTTAATTTAAGAAAAATTCAAAAATTGTCCAGATTTATGCGGTTTTTATAGATTAGCGACAGTCGAGTGGGGCGTGTTATAGTTTTGTCCACATTTTGATCTTTCGATGACCGTTTCAAGCCAAACGGACCACTTCAAGTCGATCGAGCCGGGATCTACTCTGACTCGACTCGTTCGAAAGCCTGCAAACAAACCCGGGTTGAATGTGATTTCTACCTTGGACAATCTCCGGTCCTCCAGCGCGGTCTCGCAATCCGTATAAGTCTATGGATGTATACTCGAACAATCCGCAATTCCCTGAATGCAAACAGAAACGTTGATGTGTATTTATAACGTTGGTAATGTTGGTACAGTTACAGCGTCAATTGGCGGAACGAGGAGGCGGTGGTATTTGCTTGAGCGACCAGGAATCCTTGGTCTCGTTCCCGAGGGGCAGCGTGAATGGGGCTGCGACACCGGGCGCCGGAAGCAGCAGCGGCGGCGGCGGCTGTGGTATCATCCCTCATATGAATTCTCAACCGCCATTAGGCAGCACAGAGCTCGGAGTGACTGTTGGGAACGTCGGCAATGCGGCAGGTGCTGGCTCTTCCGGCGGACAAGCGGGCGATCGCGGAAGTTGCAGCGCGGACAGCGGCGTACGGGGATCCAGCGACAGAGAAAGCGGCGGTGCCACCAGCGTGGGTGGAAATCTCTCGGATTCGACCACTGACGGTGAGCATAACCACCGATTGCATTCGTCCCGAAGACCCGACTATTTTTTTTTCACGTGCCATTTAAGCAGAATTTGCAATCCGCTTTGGACAATCGTCCACTGCGAAAGGTATTGGGTCTACGAATTAGTTATCGGTTTTAAACGTTTTAATATTGTCACTAGTCTGGAGGACTAAGAGGTGGTGTAAGGTTGACTTAGGATAGCGCATTAGACGCCCAACTATTATTGTTTACTTGTCACTTGAGAAGAATTTACACTTAGCTTTGAACGATCGTCCACTGTGAGAAGCATTGGGTCTGGGAATTAATTTTCGTTCTTGATCTTTTTATGGTCATTTTAATTGTGTTAAACTTTAAGGCTGAGGGACGACATAGGGTTGCCCATTAAGGTGGTAAGCGTTCCTGAACGAGCCTACTTATAATTAACTTCTAAGATAGAGTAGATAAAAGCCTCGTAACTTTATGGTATACTTCGCAAAAATACACCACTGTGGGTTCCCTTCGAGCTATTATGTTAATTTAACTAAAGAGAAAGGTTCTTTAATCATTACACATGCAATTGGAATAACTAAATTCAAGAATATTCTATTAAGATCAGAATAATACAAATGTGTAACCCTTATGTCATAATCAAATAACAGATAAGTAAATGAATGTATTAAGTTCCGATTCCCACGATGAGAATCTAATCGTCTATTCAAGTGAACGTACTGCACGATAGATTAGGATCAACAGCATTTCCGTAGAGCGTCAAACAAATTTAATAAAAATGAAAAAACAAGTTTTAAAGAAAAATTGACAGAGGGTAGGTGCCTCGAAGAAAAAAAAATTTTTAATCGTTCTAAAAAAATTATTTTTGGTTCCGGGGGTCAATTACAATCATTTTTGGTGAATAGACATACCCTCGAAATCCTAACCAGTTTCGAGAAAAAAATTCCTCAATGAAAATATAATTTCAGGCCAGAAATGTCACTCCAAAATATCACGCGTATCTTTAAAACGTTATAACTTCTGAACGGATTGAAGGATTTTAATGTTTCAAAAAGCAAACCACGCGTATTTTAGCGGAGAATATGTAGAAATCGCAAAAATATTCATAAGATTGGTCCTCAACCCCGTAAAGTGAGAAAACCCCCATAAAAGTGATCCAATTTTCAAACAGCCATAACTCCTACAATAGTGAATATATTTCAATGGAATTTTTTTCTGAACTAGAGCTCATGGCTACCTACAAAAAAGTATTAGACAACTTTTCTATAGGGCGTCAAACAAAATTACTAAAAATGAAAAACTTCTTTAAGAGAAATCGACAGGGTAGCTGCCTAAATTCGACAAAAAAAAAATTTTTAATCGTTCTAAAAAAATTATTTTTGGTTTCGGGGGTCAATTACAATCATTTTTGGTGAATAGACATACCCTCGAAATCCTAATCAATTTCGAGAAAAAAATTCTTTATCGAAAATATACTGTGTGACCAGAAATGTTTTAAAAATCATAACTTTTGGGCAGATTGGAGGATTTTAATGTTTCAAAATGCAAATGACACTTAGTTTGGTGAAGAATACTTAACAATTCTAGAAATGTTCGAAAAAATCCAGATCTAAAGATCTAAAAAAATACAAAATTAGTTAGAAGATGCATATTATTCCCCACCATCTACAGTTATAGGAACTAGTTTAACAACACTCTTATATAATTTTTTCAAAATTATAAAAGACTATTATTCAAAATATACCAAAAGAATCTTATAACCAATTAATAAAATCAAACTGAAACATTTTTTTAAAAGTAGAATATTAGTATGGAAATGAGTTATAATATTCTAAAATAGTACTATCTTTGATTCAATTATGCTCTTCTCTGTCTATGCACATTTCTTTATCAATCCATGTATTATTCGACTCGAGTGCGATCTTTCAAATGTAATTTGTCTCGCTAAATGAAGTTGCTACGAAATGTAATTAAGCTATCTGGCCCACAATATGACCGCCATTATTATTCATTCGAGTCTAAGCCGGTCGGTATGATTCTTGCATTTAGACCCAACGAGCGCCAAGATTAATCGTCCGGTTAAAGTACATTACGGAGCATCCGTCGAGACATCGGTGAACGAAAATAGTTTGATGGCTTCCATCAACCACGAATGTTAGTCGAACGTAGGTGGTGCCCTAATCGAGCGCATTTCCTTCATGTATTATTCAACCCAATTCCACGTGCTCGTGCATTAAAACGGATTGATCGATTTAGCCTAGCGCAAACATAGTCGTAGCCAATAGAGAGCACGAATACAACGAATCTCGTACACGAATTTCACGAAATTTTCAAGAAATTTCTATCTCCACGTTATAATACACGTATTCATAAATTATACATTTTTTTATTAAACACATTACACTATTTATTGTATATTTGCACGATTTGTGCACGGAGCATTTGGCATGGTGACCATATTCTTCTTAAAATAAGCTTGTAAGACAGAAAAGTGTTCTTTATTCGCTTGTTTCTTTAAATTTATATTTCGAAAGTTTCTTTTATTTATAACTTTGATTATAATTCTCTATATAATCACACATCGTAACGCGAGATAAATTTTTCCAACGAGTTTACATAGTCTTTTGAATTATCGTTTCCTCCCCAAAAACTCTTTCAATTTTGCAAAAAAAAAAAACAATAATCATCTACAACTAGGTTCGAACTATAGCCAGAATGGTGCAAAACCACCCATTTGAAGCGTTGAATCACTTTTTAACAGAACGTACTTCCTAATTCGTGGGATGTTCAATTTTCGCAGCCATTTTGAAAGCACGAAGCACCAACGATATTTAATTATTCCTACGAACGAAGCTTGCCTGGCCATCTATAAACGCATTTAATCTTCTACACTTAAACGAGCGTCAGTTTTCCGACGACCCTCGTGCAACAGCTGCCAATACGTTACGAAAATTTCGCGATAAACAGAGTCGCTGACAGTTTTCGTGCAAAACTTTTTACGCCCGCTGTACCTCTCGTTGTTCGTCAATCCGGGGGACAGGTACGGATGGGGCAACGTCTATCACAGGTCGTCGAGCGAATCCACAATTTCGAAGCGTAAAAAACAAAAAAAAAAAACAGTTTTCTTTTTTTTCTTTTACATTGTACATTTCCGCGCAGGCACGCCGACAATTACGGTCGAGGGAAGCGGTCTCGACATGGACAGCATCTCCGTGGTTTCCTCCATTGCACCATCCCACATATACCAGTGTAAGTGTCCAAACATAATCACTGATCGTCGTCTCCTTCCGTTTCTTCGTCATCGTCCTCCACCACCAGAGGATTCCTGTGCTTCTGTGTGTGTGTGTGTGTCCGCGTGTGTGTATTTACCTCTACCTATCTCTCTCTCTGTTCTTTTTCTGCCTCTATTTTTTATTTATTTGTTCGTCTTTGTAACAATGTCTGCTTCTCGTCAGTACTTCGAAAGGAACCATTTCTTTGATGTTTGCTCCGAAAGACGTCGATAAATCTGGTCCCTAGTAGGAGAAGTTGGCGCAAATTTTATGGATAATGATTACAAATTTCATGGAAACTAGCTCACGAATGAATTTGCCTGAATTTTTAATTTGTTCTGATATAACGTTAATTTTTTGATTCCTAAGTTTTCTGTGCTAAGAAAATACTTGGAAAACGAGTTGTTCCACTTTATATAAACAGAGGCCCTTCATTTTTTCTCGAAGAGAAAGAAGGTCTAATTAAATCGTAGACATTCTGTTTTGAAAATGTTAAAGTTATATTTCACGCATTTTAACCGGAATAATACCACCGTGAATATTATAAAATTTTGCATTTTAAAGCAAAACCGAGGGAAACATACCGTTCTTACGTCGGTAAATATTTTAATGTTTTTGTTTCTAAAGTGAGAATACGCGGGTTTGTTTGTAATACGCTGTTTTGCATATTCACATGGCTCCAGCGGAAAGTAACCAAAACTTGGTCGAGAATAAACAGTGGCACTGACTGCAGGGAATTGTCATTGTCTGTTGCGTGTTATTAATTTATTTACCGATAGCCGTCGTGGTGTAATTAATATCGAGGTTCCATTAATGTCGTGGTTTTGTCCTAATAATCGGCTAATTGCCTGTTGTACGACCGATGCATGTGCATGCACGTGTTGCAGCCAGAATTGTTCGGTAACGTAACAACATTCGGGCAATATGTGTACTTTGAGCGAGATTGGAAATCGTTGAGCGCGACACGATAACGAAAATGTACACGTTTCGAATGGTGTATGCAATAAATAATAGGACGGTGCGCGATCGTAATACTATTCTTCGTTTCTGCTTGTTTTGTTCGATGCAAAATAAATCATCTCGAACGGTTCCGCTGAAGATATTCTTGACAAACTTTGTTTCGCGTACGATTTTCTGTTTTTGTACTTTGTCACGTGACACTATAAATCAGAGATGCACGAAGTCACTTTCGCGAAGTTTATCCGGGAAAATATGAGGCAGAAATTGTTGTCGAAATTTGAAATAACATTTTGCGAAGATAATATTTAAATATTTTGGATGGTACACTATTTTTCAAATAGTAATTTGAGAATAATTGTTTCGAACAAGGTTGATCAGTTCCCCACGCCTTATTTAATTTATAAAAAAAAAAGAAATCGACGTTTTAATTAGTTTCTGAGAGAGAAGCTTGTAACACATCGTTTGCATCACATGGTGTGTTTGAGATTAGGATCCAAAGTCAATTCTTGTGTACTTCTTTCATCTCGAGAAGCCAATAGAAAGCAAGGTACCTTATTATATGTTTAAATATATATTTTTATATTATTTTATTCCCGTTTTTATTCGAGAATTGCCTCTCAGTAAATGATACTTCGTTTGGTTTGACTCACTGGCGAAAATGTTGTGCACCACTGTTATAAATGAACGAAACACTTCGAAAAATTATGGTTACCCGAGATTTATGATACCTTCATCCTACATTAATAATGATTCAAACTATAATTCTGCACGTCCCACGTTGCAAATAATTATAAGCAACTATGTTTAAAGAATTTCAGTCATTTAGGTGTTTTATCATAATGTGAAAACAAAAACGTTGAAAGGAAAACGTAATTATGCTTTTAAGGGGGGATTCTCATTAAGACCTTTGATAGAAACAATTTTTTTATTCAATTTTCTGGAATTACACTGTATAATTAAAAATATGTGCTCTAAATTTTTAATGAGCAATAATAATGTCATTAACTGTCATTAGAATTAATATTTCAAGAACAGTGCAATAGCAAAGTTCCCAAACATTGAAATACCATTGCAAACTTACTAAGTCGGAAATGTATATTTTTATACATTAAATAAAATGGCACACTAGGTTTTGAAACACGCCTAAGTTGTCCATATTTTATTTATTTCTGTAAACAGGAAAAACTCCCATTATTGTATATCTACAGTTAAGTGGTTGCAGTGACGGGGTTTGGAACGCTTCGAATCTATAAAATGGCGCACAAAAATGGCGGGATATCTTGAAAATCTTAATTATATTAAACTCTTAAGATTGTTCAGAGTTTTCGAGCATTCCTTCCGCTGTTCACGATCGTCGAAATTTTATGTTTTCAGCAGCAACCACGCCGAAAGACTGTAGCCCCACACTGTCGCCCCTGAACGCGTTCTCCAGGTCCATGGACAATTCGTCGCTATCGCGATCGGTGGAACAGCTGTCGAGCCCGTTGGAATCCGAACCGAGGAGAAACAAACAGAATCCACCTATCGCGGCACCTGCCGCCCATTCGCGATCCTCCGCGACTCGCGGTGGCACGTGGGGCTCCATTTCGAGGTGAGAAGATTAAAATCACTCGGATCGTCAGCCTCGGTCGCGAACAAAGTCGGCTGCTCCTGAAACTGTCGTCGTATTGTTTGGAATATCGGTGTGTCTCGCGTAAACGCGACGTATTCCTAGCTGAAAGACAGTTTCTTTTTGACGATTTTCAGAGTGTTCGCGCGTTCCCGGCATCGAAAGGCGGCGAACAATTCGAGCGGCGGAAGCGGAAGCAACGAGGGCTCCGACGGTTTCGATCCCTACAGATCATGGTCCCCGCTCACCGAGGAAGGTTACGCCGAGAAACTTCGTTTGCTCAGAGAGGCTGTGTCCGTGCCTATGGAACGATGGAGGGCACCTACGGTCCTGGCGTGGTTGGAGGTTGCGCTTGGTATGCCGCAGTATGGCCCACGATGCGCTGAAAATGTTAAATCTGGAAAGGTACGACGCTATAACTATTGATAAATAACTGTAGTAAAGTTATAGGTCTGTGGTCCTAATTAATACCACTAAAATGTATCGTTGGTGAACCGGATTAGCTCTTAACGCTTCTGCCGTGGTTTTACTGTGAAAATGATGTAAAGTCAGAATGAATGTCAGGAAATAACGTCTAGTGAAAATTGTAAAAGGTGTCTTTCGTCTATCATCCTGTCTTTCGATTAGAAACAGATTGTCCAATCGATGGATGGATATAATACGTTTTTCCCCCGTTCAAATGAAAATTGTTTAGGTCTTGCTGGAACTGAATGACGCAGAATTGGAAGCTGGTCTGGGAGTGACACACCCCCTTCACAGAAAGAAATTACGTTTAGCTATCGAGGAGCATCGACACCCGAATCTCGTTCGATATCCGTGCATTGCTCAACTGGGTCATACATGGGTCAGCTCCGAATGGTTACCCGACCTTGGACTCGCCCAATATTCCGAAAGCTTCGCTACCAATATGGTGGACGCTCGGATGCTCGACAACCTGAACAAAAAAGAACTGGAGAAGCTCCTCGGTGTGACCAGAAAATTCCATCAGGCCAGCATCGTGCATGGCATTCGCTTGCTGCAAATGCTGAACTACGATCGCCAGGTACAAAGAACTGTCTTCCGTCGCGTGTTATACGCGGGTCGGCAACGTAATCGCGTGTAATCGATAGCCCCGGAGAAGTTCGATCGTTTTGTACAGGATTTACAGAAAATGGTGGTCTTCTCAAGGAAAGTATCCACGACCTTAACCTGCTACTTTTGGTATTTTTTTAATAATCGAGTAAAAAGTATGTTTGCTGGAAAGTGTATAATTGTCTTTTTATTCCTTTTGTACCACCCCATATAAATTTATTGAAATTGATTTTACATACTTTTATGTCTATCTACTCTACTACTCTGTCTTTGTAAGACTACGTTAGATTATTTAATATACAACGCAATGTTTATACTTACCCTCAGAATTTCTTTGAGGAAACCACCTTTTTCTTACATATTCTATATAGATGACGAAGATGTTTAACGTTATCAATCATGTTCACGCGACAGGCACTCGCGGTTAGAAGACATCAGTGCGAAGAAGTCGACACGGATCCTTTAGTATGGACGAATCAGAGGTTCATCCGGTGGGCGAGGAACATCGATCTAACCGAATACGCTGAGAACTTGAAAGGTGTGTTCGACTCTTTCTAATTTTAATCTTCTATATTTAAACGAAAATTTCTTAAATTTAGCAATCGACCACTTTGTTTCTAGACAGTTGAGAACTAGCATACTCGTAGTTTGTCATTGAATTTATTTTTACAGCCTCGTTAAGATTCAATAGTCCTATCTAGATTGTTTTTCTTTAACGTGTAATCTTGAGAATTAATTTTTTTAGCGCCTCGGTGAAAAATCAGTGAATGTGTCGAGTGAAAGACGCTGTATATAGTAATAGGGGAATCGTTTAATTTGCAAAATAGATTCGGGTGTGCACGGTGCCCTCGTCGTGCTGGAACCATCATTCACAGGTGACGCGATGGCAACAGCCTTGGGTATACCGCCTGCTAAGCACATGATCAGACGACACCTAACTGCTGAACTGGAAGCCCTCGTCGTTCCAGCAAGGTACTCAGTCTACTATCATCCAGAGGCCACATTGGACAACGCTCACTAATCGACATAACGAGATCAACCCCCGAAAACACGATTCGTCGTTTATCGAGTTTTCGTTTCGACAGTCCTTGCTTGAAGGAAAACACTCGAGCATTAATTAATCACATCGCGGTTTCTATCCATTCGTAGATACACAGGACTGAGTAATTTCTCGATAGCTGCAACAATGAAAATATTTAGTAGAAGATTCTTGAAACGATGCCACGGTGTTCCTTTTCAAGTTCGGACAAAATACATTTTGATACGAACTGATTAACCTAAAACAGATTTCGTGTGTTCGTTCGAACACTGACGTCACGGCTTAGCAACGATTATATTTAAAAAAAAAAAAGAAGCACAAATTAAACTTTAACGAATTGCATTTTTGGTACGTAATCAACAGTAGAATGACCATCTGACGTCGGTATACTTAGATGGCATAAGCGTAGAATATCACGGTTCGTTTTTTTACCGTATTTTAGGAATTTTCGCTAAGGTATTGTCAATTATCGCGCTCGCGAAACGCTATATAAACACGATGAAAAATATTTCTACGTTGCATTAGAATCATCGAAACGGTTGTCTCTGATCTTTAGGAGAGTTTTTACTCGGATCTTGATTCGCGAACGATCGATACACGCATTTACAGAACAGTGTTCGGCTTCGAAGACATTGTTATTGTATAAAATCGCGAATAGGCCTCACTTTTTCAGGGTTTCTACTTAGTCTCTCGTTAAAACTGTATCCGTTAACGTTTACGATCGAGATGTACTTCGGGTCTCGTGGATTGTAAATACTAACGGGCGAGCTTAAAACAGTAACTTGCATCGATACTATTAAGATCAATATCAAAATTCTCGCTTCACTTCGAAGCATCTTTAACGGTAGAGCCATAAACGGGATAGTTGTAAATAGTCCAAAACTAAGCAAAGAATTATTCGCAATTCGTTCGTGTAAATACGGCAACGCGCGCAGAAATGGCTAAGCGAAATTTAGGCTACCGATCAACCCCTTGGCGTACAAATAAGACCCAATGCTATTTAATTTCGCTCGAAAGGTGGTATAAATTTTAAAACACAGCAGAATATTAACGTTGAACATCATTCAAAAGGATCGATGTACAATATCAATGGACAATAATCAAGTAACATTAGTAGTTCTGTAAACTATAACATTTTTCAAAATATCCTAGTAAACGTAGAAGAATTACACATTTTTTTACCCAAGTTGTTTCGCTTGTTATACACGTTATTGCAGAATCTTCTGTAGAGAGCGGCCATATTGTACGGATCGCGAGTTCTCGAGGTCTTGGAAACGTCATCGCGTACGAACGAACAAAATGTCGTTTCCCAGACGTTCGTTGTACGCCAAGGGGTTAATGTTCCGTTTCAACGTGAAGGAAACGAACGACAAAGCCACCAATGTTCGACTCGGTACCAAAGCTCAGCTTCTCGAACACCGTCGAGTCATCGCGCATACGTGGCTACTCGTTACAGTGACAAAGATATAAAATATATAGATACATCCCGACAGACATTGACATTGGACATCATACATACCATAAAGACCTCGTGAAATCCAAGATTATTGCAAGAATAATTGATGAGGGTCGATACACGATTAAATTGATCAATTATCGAGAGGTAAATGTACACGCTGGTCCGTAGCGATCTCGAGCGTGGCAATACGTCGTGTGATCGCCGCGAGATCGCTGCCAACCAGAGTATTATAAGTACTCATCCGTAACACACACGCCATACTTGGATATATCGGGAATACACACACGTAAATACAGTACAGTACAATCGACATAATGTACATATACAAACATGCAGTATACTCAAATGAAATTATTATCGAAAACATTGTACTCGGCACCGCAGCGATTCGCTGGGTCTGCAGTCCACTCGATCGCGGATCCATCGGTAATGTCTCTCATAGCTGAGCCGTAGCCCACAGTTGCCGCCTGCACTGCACTGCGCTATGTACAGCACACGTTAATATTAGTAATTCTGGTGTAATCCGTGGCCACGGACCTCGCGAGGACAAATTGCTGACGACGTTTCAAGTAACGCTTATCGCCAAACAAGTTAGAGCTTCTAAATCATTCTCTTCCGCCGCTCGTCGGGGGTAGGAACTTGCAAGAGTCGCTGATTAGATGGATCACTCGTGTTTCGACTGTTATTCCTTTCTTTTTTTTTTTAATCGAGATAGAAAAGTAAATAAGGATTATTATCGATTTGGGAAACAGAAGGTTCTTCTTTACTCGTATCTAACCATGGATCACACCAGTATGCATTTATGGTTCCTTTTATCTTTTTCTGATTTGCCAACTTTGATATTTACATTTTTTACTGTTCGATGTTTATTCCAATTTGACTGACTAGCCGACCCCGATGCGTCTCGGTCGATCTTTCACCGGACGATCCTGCGCATTTGGTGTCCAGTAACTATATACATTCTTCTATATCGATGGTGCACAAAATGCTTGTGTATGTATATTTATGTTGTAACTAGATATTCATTATGATAAATCTGGTTCTATCGTCGAGCACTTGCAGCGAGCCACTGTTCGATTCGAAAACGTTCCCCCATCTATCGACTAATTTTTTTTCTGCATCTGAACAGACTTAAGCTTCATTTTCACACTATGGCATCTATCGTACCAACAATGGGACTAATAAGAAGAGTGCAATATCCTTTTGGAACATTTAATTGTAACTTTCTATACCGGTAGATTCTCAATAAGTGCAAAAATATGACGTTATAGTATTCTACAAATTTGGTCGAAAGGATATTTATTATTCATCTTTCGAGAATACGCACAAATTTTGTTGATGCAAAGTAATACAATTTGTAGAAATTATTTAATGATACGTCCAGGTTCCAACAAAAAATAGATTTCTTTAAAATATTCGTGGAAATAACTTGAAAAATACTTAGTTTCTGACTCTGTAATGTTATAGTTTTGCAAAGTGTAAAACTCTGGCAGTGTACAAAGCTATAGTGTCCCGAAAGATTTGCAGTCTCCTGGTAACACGTGTTTTGAAATCATCGATACGTTTATAGCTCAACAAGTTTAATAAGAACCCCTACGATTGGACTACTTACTGTCTACTTTAAGAATAGAGCCTGGTCATCGTCTAATACTATTCGAAACAAATAGAGTTATAGAAATAAATTCAGGGATCTCATTTAACTTGTTGGAGTTGTTCATAATCGATATCTCTCGCATCAAAACCATTTCATGGAATACCTTCAAACGATTTAAGACTTATCGAGGCATGCGAATGTTGCATGCATTCGTTTCAAAGTTGTAATCGTTTGAAGCCGGTGAGTTCCAATTCGATCTTTGGTGCACCTTTGTCTACTTTTTTTCGTAACATTCCCACGACAGTTGCCATAAATAAATATACTTTCATGATACTTTGGGACTCACAGAACGATGTCTTACTAAAATTTTAGGTGTCTAAAGAGTTATGAAGGAGAATGTTGAGGAACCATTTTTGCGTCTCTTGGGAATTAAAGACTTATACAAGAGCTTTAAGAGTGTTTTCCAAGTGGTTATAAACGAGTGCAAAATGTAACACTCTTAAATCTCTTGTATAAATCATTCAGTTCCGAACGATGTAAAAATTGGTCATTCTTTAACATCCCTCTGCGCCCCCTTTTTGACCTTCTTTGTCGAGCACTTTCTCTTGATATAGAATTTTCCAATGAAAGCGTTAGAACCTTGAATTTAGATAAAATGAAAGCTAGGAGAGATAATCTGGTAATCGTTATTTTATTTTGATGTACATTCGGTAAAATTATACGTGAAATTATGTTTGGTGGAGTGAGTAGGATATACCACGTCTCAGACAAATCGAATCTACGCTATTCACATCGAAGACAAGATGAAATCGCATCTTCATTTTGAACAAAATAAGGACCAATGTCTCCATCAGCCAAAAAACAACACTCACACAATAGTACAAGAGTTTTATTGACTGAGGATTGGCATCTCCTCAAATTCGACAAAACCATCCAAAAAGTAAGCTTCATTTTTTTGGTCAGCAAGCTTGAATTCTCGAGTTGACTAGATCACATAAGGACGAAGACCCTAACTCTTAAATTTGGATTCTCAGCAAAGCTATCGCTAAATAAATTTTAATAATTTCAACGCGTCTTGTAAACTGACTACAAGTTTAAGGTGACTCGTACAAGCGAATAATCAATATGGCGGTCATGTCAATTGAAAGTTCTATCGCTCTCGTTGGAAACCCCTATGAAATTCAATCGAATCGTATGTTATTGGTACCCTTTCGTGCACCGATAGCGATAAAACGGTCCCCCCCTATAGTTCTTTTGCACTGTTTCCCAAAGTAGGCACTCGAAACGCCCACGGGGCCAGTAATAATGATTCACGCGAAACGAATAACGAAACGGTAGAGGGGTTCGCTGCAAAACCGTGACGAACGTGTGTGTGTCCGCGGTGTCACCCAAGGTGTGCGCGTATAAGCGTGTCGGGATGCGTGTACGCAGAAAGGCGTGCATGAAGCGTGGTGTGCGTGTGTGTAGAAGTCAGCTGGAGGTGGTACCGAGGAACAGCACCCCAGGAGGCCGTCCGATGAGCACCGTGAGCGCAGGCGGTAGCCTCGGTCGTGGAAGCAGGGCGTTGCATCTCCAACATCATCAGAGCTCCCTATCGGCCCTACACATGGCGGCCAACCACTCTGGCACGGTCGATAGACGCAGATCCAGCATCAGGGTAACGTACCGTATAGATTTAAAGACCTGGCCCGTACACGACTGCACCGGGAACTCGATGTGGTACCATCTTTCTTATCTATTTGCCCATACATTACTCCTCGAGCTTGCACGGGGTACGATTTACTCTTGGCAGATCGCTTCTAAAAGCTCTTTCTCTCGCTTTTCCCAAACGGTTCGACTCGAGGATGTGTCTCGAGCCATCGAGTAGTTCGTTCGACCCT